GTCAGAGAGCAGGGGGTTATCTTTCCAGCTCCCTCTGCACAGCCTGGGGCTGAGGGCGAAACACTGCACAAGGGCCCCTCGAGGGAGCTGGCTGCAAGAGTCAAACCCTGCTCTGGCTAGCAGCCCAGGTGTTTCAGCGCTGGCTTTCCACGGCCCGGCCCCACGCCGCGCCCACGCCTTGCCTTTCGCAGCGGGGCTGGGAGCTAGCGGAGTTCGCTGCCTGCCTCCCGGGGAGGGCGGGATGCGTGCCAAAGCACCTGGGCTCCGAGAAGTCAGCTGGGCTCCCAGGAAACCACTGATCCTCTGCCCCAGGAGCTGAAAAGAAGCTGGGGGGAGGTGCCAGCAGCAGGTTTAAACACTGGCTAGTCTAGGAGCAGAGGCCGGCCCTCGGCTCAGACTGGACCCAGGCTAAACCGACCTCTGGAGGCGGGGGCACTGACCTCTTGGAAGCAGGGTCCCGGAGAAGCCAGACAGCGGGAGGGAAATTCAAGGAGGGCAAGGCTGGGCCAGCAGCTGGCCCATGGAGCTACTCTGCTTCTAGCCCTGGGGGCTGGGACTCAGCAGCACAGCAATCTGTCTGCACACGAGGGCTGGGCCGGGTCCCAACGGGTCCCATCTGCCAGCCCCCAGGAGGGGGCACAGCTGAATTCACACGGCACTGAGGGGAGAGGGGTTGGTTCTGCTGCCCAAATTCCCACCTGTCCAGTCCCAGGGGGTGGGGGCAGTTCCTGGAGCCTGAGGCTGGGCTGATGGACTCTGGCTGGGGGCTGGTCTGATCTGGGGGCGGGCGGGGAGGGGGGGCTGATGGGTCAGAAGGGCCCAGCCTGGGATGTCCTCTCCTCCCAGCCCCACTAGACCCGAGCCACACTGGGGATGTGGGGGAAAGGGGTGTAGAGACCTCCCCCAGCTCCCTGAACCTGAGAACTGCCCCAGTGCAGGCACCGCAGAGGACGGCCCCTGTCTTTGAGGGCCCCCCTCACACGGGGGATGGAATCACAGCCCTAATGGGTCAGAAGGGCCCAGCCTGGGATGTCCTCTCCTCCCAGCCCCACTAGACCCGAGCCACACTGGGGATGTGGGGGAAAGGGGTGTAGAGACCTCCCCCAGCTCCCTGAACCTGAGAACTGCCCCAGTGCAGGCACCGCAGAGGACGGCCCCTGTCTTTGAGGGCCCCCCTCACACGGGGGATGGAATCACAGCCCTACACCCCAGACTTAAAGGTTATCCACTTGAAATCAGCTCCCTCCCCTTAGCCCTCTGGCTGCCAGGTCCGGGCTTATCCTGGAGGCCTGTTCCTCCCCATGCCTGGAGCTGTGACCTCGACTGGGGGGGGAGGGAGAGAAGTGACGTGTCCCCAGGAAGAGCAGCTGGAAGAGCAGAGCGGAGGTCTGGAGATGCAGCTAGAAACCCGGCGGAGCAGTAGGGTACAGAAGGGGCTGCCGGGAGGTGGAGCTGAGCCTGAAGAGAGACCCTACGGGAGCAGGAAAGAATCCACGGGAATAAGGGATCCTGCTCGATTCCCGCTGGGACGCAGCCCAGGAGACGAGGGATGTTATTGGGGGGAGGGGCTTTGGGATGCCTGAGCACTCGGAGGCAGTCATGGGCAGAGGACCATGCTCCTGGGATGAACGTCACTGGAGCGGGGAGGGTGAGTGGTCAGCACAACTGGTTAGAGGAGGAGGAGCTTGGAACTCTGTTCAGGACGGTGGGAAAGGCTCATCCCTGCGCCTGCCTAACAGAGCAAGAGGAAAGTCGGGTACGAGAGGCCACGCAAATGACAAGGAGAGAGAGAGAGAGAGAGAGAGGAGACTGCGCCCGGCAGACAAACGACTGGGTGAAGAACGCAGGCGAAGCTGAGCAGGCAACCAGCGTGGAGAGATTAGAACCAGCGGGGGAGGCAAGAGCCGAGTAGGGGCCCGAAGGGAGCATGGAGAACACAAAGCAAGGGGAAGGGGGGCGGGATGAATGAGGAGGAAGCGTGGAAAGAAGTGAGAAGGGATGGGCTGGAGAACAGAGCGCCCTTTGGGGAAGGAAGCGAAGCGGCTCCGCTGGGACAGTCTTAGGGCCACCCCACGGCGGGAGAGGAGATCTCTGTAATGACACCAATATTCCTGGGACTGGGATTACGGGAGACTCATTCTCCAGGCTGACTGGAGGACAAGAGCCCCCGATGACGGCAGGGCCCGGGCATTCCCGGAGGCGAAAGCCAGCCCCTTTCTTCACCCCCAAGAGCCGAGGCCGGTTTTGATTTGGGGTTGGTAAGAAGCGGAGACCTCACTGAAGGCGGGGTCCATGTGGTCGTGACTAAGTCCCTTGAAAGGGAGGCCCCCTGGGACGAGGGTCCTGGGTTACAAAAGGGCAACTTTGAAAAGCAAAGGAGGGGAAGGGAGAACTCAGAACTGCCCGAAGGCAGCACAGAAATAGGCTGAAGCCAACCCCCCAAGTGGCGGGGAGGCAGGGCAAAAATCACGGGGGGAGGGGGTGGCTGCACACCAAGCATCTCAACTGGAGTTAAAAGGGGAAGGATCGGCAAGGAAAGCGACCTCTCGGGGGTCATACGCGCAGGCAAGAGCTGCCCAAAGCCAGGCCTGGTTCTCCCTGGCCGAGGCAGTTACAACCAAAATGTTCGTTTAGCCACACGGACACGGAGCGGAGGAAAGAGGGACTGTTGAGCTCTGAGGATGGGGAAGAGCTGAAGGAAGCCCGTCCTGGCCCGACGGCTAAGCAGACGCAGGGGTGAGGTTTTAACGGGGGGCAGTGGCAGGGATGAGGAAGCGAAGGTCGAAATGACCACAGCCGAGGCAGAAGCCAAATGCAAAGTTTAAAAGGCCCAAATCGGAGGGCCCAGGTCCTCTCCGGCCAAGAATATGAAGGGAACGGACCTGTTCTCTGAAGCAGAGATTTGTAAGGAGTCGGTGAACACAGGGGCTGTGCCCTGAGAGCAGGGACCAGCGAATGCAGCGCTCGTATTTAAGAAAAGGAAACCAACGCGATCCAGGAAGGACACCCCTTTCATCTGCCAAGTCCCAGAACAGATTCTGAGAGCAATTCAAGACAGGACGATGGAAACGAGGAATACAGACGAGGCGGAGTTTGATCGCTTTGGGTACGTCTACACTAGCCCCCTAGATGGATCTAGGGAGGCTAATGAGGGCGACCGAAATTGCAAATCAAGCCCGGGATTTAAATATCCTGCGCTTGATTTGCATGTTCCTGGCCAGTCGCCATTTTAGAAATTGACTAGCCCGAAGTAACTGCCCGCGTCTACACGCGGCAGTGAAACGGGATTCCGATTTAAAGCCCTAACTCGAATTAGGTGGTATTCCTCCTGCAAATTAGGTTTACCAGCAAATTTGATTTAGGGGCTTTAAATCAGAATCCTGTTTCACTGCCACGTGTAGACTGGCCAGGAACATGCAAATCAAGCGCAGGATATTTAAATCCTGGGCTTGATTTGCAATTTTGATCGCCCTCATTAGCCTCCCTAGATCCATCTAGGGGGCTAGTGTAGACGTACCCTTTGAGAAGACCATGGATTCACTAGACAAAGAAAACGCAGTAGATCTAGTCTGCCCCAATGTCAGTAAACCATCTGATCCCATTCTCACCTGGGAAATTTGTTCTGCTGGAGAAGAGGAGGATCAGCAGGGGAAAAGAAGCTGGCAAGGAACAGGCTGAAGGGGAGACTACATCAGGCAAACAGGCGGCAGGGAGGTTGCCAGTGGAGTCTGTCAGGGATCAGGCGTGGGACCAACCCTACTGAACGTTTTAACATGCTGCGGCTGTGAAAAAGGTCAAAGCAGTGGCGGGGAGAGGGCGTCAGCTGGGGTATTCCCCGCAGAGGCCGGGATGCGTCAGTACCACCATACAAGGCACCGGTGAGACCTCCCCTGGAATACTGGGCACATTTCTGGGCTCGTGTGTGTAAAACATTAATTCAGATTAAGAACGGGGCAGAGATGGCGACTGAGCCGAGGAACGGGGAGGAGACAGCACGTGGCTGGACCTAAGCAGACGCAGGCCGAGAGGAGGCTTTAAGTCATTGGGATGCACCCCAGGGAGGGAGGGAGGCGGTAAGTTACGGGCCGATGCCGGCACATGAACAAACGGCCATAAACTGGCCGGCTAGGAGTGCAGCTTGAATGACATGAAGGTTTCTAGCCAGCAGAGGGGCAAAGTTCCGCAGCAGCTTCCCAAGGATGCGGCTGGGGGCAAACTGGCAGCAGGAGGCAGCTGATGCGTTTCTGGAAGGGATGGAGCAGCCTACAGAAGCGCGTGGCCATTCTGGGACTGCCAGTGGCCGGGGGAGGGCTCCGAGTTGCCCCCAACGAGTCCTGCCTGGTGTCTGGCCGGTGGGTCTCCCACACAAGCAGAGCCAGACCATCGCCAGGCTTAGGAGGGAATCCTCCCCCAGGCCAGACTGGCAGGGCCCCAGGGTGGCTCTGAAGTCCTTACGCCAAGCTTTGAGGCCTTCAGCAACTCAGTCAGCAATCTGAGGCTGTTCCAGGAAACAGGCCAGGTTGTGTGGCCTGCGATAGGCAGGTCAGGATGGGGCCTTCTAGCCCAAAGGTCAAAGAGCCTATGGAAAGGGCCAAGAGCCCAGCAGGGGCCCCCTCTGGAGCAGACGGCGCAAGAGGTGCAGAAAGACGCCCTGTTGACTCTGGAGACTAATGATGCCACGTTGCCTGGGCGCTTCGGCAGAGCTGCCCCACTCCTCTGGGATCCCGTGGGCGGAGCTTGGCAGCGCTGCCCTTTGTGCCACACAACTGGGGAAAGACCACATGGATTCTGCTCCACTGCTTTGCAAAGACAGAGCCACCTGCTCCCCTTGCCCCGCTCCTCCCCTGCACTGTTCGCAAGGTGCCAGGCAATCCGGTTCTTGGGTTAGTAACTGACTCCCAGCACAAGCTGCTCAGCATCAGACCAGTCCCAGATTCGGGGGAGGGGGGGGGTCGTCTGCCTGGCTGTCCCTGACAATTCCAAGAATCCTGACCTCCAGCTCCTGCCTCCAACCACTAGATCCCACTGCCTTCCCAGAGCAGGGGAGAGAACCCAGGAATGCTAGCTTCCAGGCCCCCCCTCATGGCAGCTGCCCAGTGCAGGGACCCTGGGGCACCCTCAGCAGCCAGCCTCCCTCTTACCCTTTCTATGGCTTCTTTTTCCTGAGGAGTGACCTGGATGTAGTTCATCTGGGGAGCTTCCTCGCCAATGGCCCCGATCTCCCCCTCGATGTCCGAGATGTCGGCCACCTCACCCAGCGGCTCGTTCAGCATCTGGATGAACTGCTCTTGGTGCTGGCTGATTTGCTGGGGAGGGCCGGGGGGGTGGGATGTCAGGGTTATGGAGAGATGCCCCTCCCCTCCCCTAGCAGGGCCTCCGCAGCCCCTTTTCCTAGTGGGGAAACTGAGGCACAGAAGGGCACAGACAGGACTTGTCCAAGGTCACAATGCAACCCACCGGTAGAGCCCAGAAGTCCTGCATCCCCGGCTCTGCCCCTCACACCCCACGTCCCTTCCAGTCCTGTGTCCCGGCTCCTCCCCCGGGGCCCCTTTCAGCCTCCGCCCCCCTTCACCTGCAGGAGCTGAGGGTTCTCCTGGCCCAGCTGCTGGAGCAGGGCCGGGAGCAGGGCCGGGTTCTGCTGGATCACCTGCCGCATGTTCTGGAACTGGGGCTGGTCTCTCAGGAACTCCAGGGGGTTCTCGCCTGCGGGAAGGAGCGGGCAGGGTGAAGCCAGGCAGGGCCTTGCAGGGCCAGGGCACAGCACACTTGAACCACATGGGTGATCGCAGGACGCCTGGGGGAGAGGGCTAGGAGCCCCGTTCTGCCCACTGCCTCCCGCAGCTGCATCTCGATAACCCGCCCGCAGGTGCAAGAGCCTTCTCCCATGCAGCTCCGGCCCATGGCCTGCCGGCCCCTCCCACTGCCACCCTCCCACGCCTCTGACCTTCTGGCGTTGGCTGCTCTGGGGCCTGGCTCTCCTGGATCGGGGCCCTCTCCGGCTCCGAGGTGCCTGGGATGCCCTGTGAAGTCAAAGGGGCAGCGTTAGAGCCATCCAGCACCCCTCCCCCAGAACTGACCCAGTCCCACCAGGCTCACGCCGCAAAGGGCCAGAGAGGAACTCGGTCTCTGGGGTTTGCCTGGTGCCCCAGGCCCTGCCAGCGAGGGGGCAAGCTAGCCTGAGGCAATGCGGGCACCCCTGCTCACGTCACACCGGGTCCCCAGTTGCTGGGGCCGTCCCCCGGGCTGGATCAGAACTGGTGCCCTTACGAGTCAGGCTCCGCATCCCCCCCCAGCCACCTGCACCGTGCAGATGGGGATGCAAAGAAAATCATTTGCCCCAAGTCAGAGAGCGAGTCAGTGAAACCCAGGAGCCCTGGTGCCCACAGCCCACTTTAACCACTAGGCCTCATTCCTCAGAGCTGGGAGAGTCCGGCTCTAACCCCTAGAACACGCTCCCCTCCCTGATCTGGGGACTGAGTCTATGAGTCCTGCCCCCCGACCTGTTCCCAGCCCGGCGCTCCCCTACCGTTAGCAGGTACTCCACGGCTCGGTGGGGGTTGTTGTAGCTGGCCCGGAGCGCGGCCACCACCCGCTCCCGCTCGTAGCCCATGGACATGATCTCGGTCAGCATCGTCTCGTACTCTGAGCCGGTCACTGCGGGCGGCAGGGGACAGCGGCCTGGCGTGAGGAGAGCCAGGCAGCCTCGGGGTGCCCAGCAAACGCTCAGCGCCAAGGCAAAGGGGGGCAGGCCAGGGGCTGGCTAGAAACACAGACCCTCCTCCAGCAGCTACCGACAGAGAGATTCACCCTCTCCGCCCCAGCCCCCCACAGCCCTGCAGGGGGAGTGACTCAGTCACCCTGAGTCAGGGGCTGAGCTGGGACAAGAACCCAGGAGTCCTGGCTCCCTGCTCTGTACCCCATATGGGCTCGTGGCACCCCGCCCCCCCCCACCTATCCCCTCATGCCCCCCAGTGTTGGGAAAAAGTCCAGGAGTCCTGGCTCCCAGCCCCTCCCCCCTTTCCCTAATGTAACCCCCTCTGCTAACGAGCAACTGGAGACGACACAGACAGGGCGCCTCCGAGCAGCAACTGAGACCTGACCCACTCATCACACGGGGCACCGAACGGCCCTGCACTGACACCTGAGATTGCAAGGCGGCAGGCATGCCCCCGCCCCCCGGTGGAAGGGCAACACTGTGAATGGGGGGCCCTGCGCTGGCACCCCTACATCAGCAGTGAGAAAAGGGGCTGTTGTAACTAGCGGCAGCCACCGGGGGGCGCCCCTGCCCTACGTGCGGGCAGGAGCGCCGCCCCCAGCCCCCGCCCACGTCACCTACCCAGGGTGGAAGCCGCGTCGTCCTGGCGCCCCACGCTACCTGAAGAGGGAACAGAGCTGCAAATTTAAAAGAGAGGAATCGTAGCTGGCTCCTTCCAGGCAGCTGGGCAACAAGAACGCTGGGCCGGGCCGGGGGGACCTGAGGGGGGGCTGCAGCCCAGGTGCCTTCCCCTGCCATCGCACCCCCGGAAAGCAGGCGCGCGCTAAGCCCGGCCCAGGGAGGGCCTGGCATGTGAGCCAGGTGCTACCGTAATACCACTAATAGCCGCCGCCTTGGCACCACCCTCACACCTCCACTGGTTTCCAGGTCAGCTGGATTTTGTGTCATCAGCCAGCGCAGACCCCGGCACGGAGGCCTCTGCTCTCGGCTGGGTGACCATGGGCAGGTCTCGCCTGCCCTCCTGCCTCAGTTTCCCACCTGTACAATGGGGTCTGTTGAGCTCCACTGAAGGAAAGCGCTAGAACAGCGCGACTCAGGTGACGCTGTTCCCAGCGGGCTGAAGCGAACCCGCGCCAGACTCCATCGGGGCGAGTCGAGCCCACCAAGTCAGGGCGGAATACAGACGCCTCCCTGCACCATGCGCCGGCTCTGCCTCGCCCCACCCCAACACCCCGCTCCAGGGCGGCTCTCTCCCCTTTCCCTGCCCGGCGTGAGCCAAACCCACGCGGGGGCTGCTTCTCTCCAGCGCTGTTTGTAACTCCCCCTCCCCTTCCCCGCCCGGAGACGCAAAGGAGCCTGCGCCAGGGTCACAGCTCAAAGGCTGCCAGGCCACCAGAACTACATGGATTTTCAATTCACCCCGAGCGGCTCGCGGGGATGAGCTCGCAGCCTGGCTCTCTCGGGGCTTGGGAGGCGAGCGCCGCGCACCTCTCGGCCCCCACACCAGGGGATGTTACCGGGGGGGGGGGGGGGGGCACCCACCTGCAACCTATATGTGGGTGCCCTGACGTGCAGCCGCCTGTGGGCTGGGAGCAGCTTGTCAGCCATGTGGCAACATTAGGCTGGGGAAGCAGCCCCGACTGCACAGATGGGGAAACTGAGGCACCCGGCGGGAAAGCACCTCAGACCGTCAGAGTGAACGTGTGGCAGAACCCAGGACTCCCAGCCCCCTTGGTCTCTCTAGCCCCTAAACCTCACTCCTCCGAGTACAGGCTGTTCCAAGTTCCCGCAAAGGAAGGAAGTGGAAGGCATCCTCCCCACCCGCTCCCAGGCATGGCAGGCACCAGGGTGCCTGAGCTGCCGTCCCAGGCAGACGCAGGGAGGGGCACGTGCTCCCAGGGCTTACCCGGTAGTGCATTCCGGGAGTGGGAGCACAGCAGGCTCCTCTGGGGGCTTGTCCTCGCTTGGCGCCGCAGGCGGGGACAGGATGGCATCAGATCCAGCTGCAGGTGCCGGCGGCTGCCCCGCTGACGGGGCTGGCTCCGGGGCACTGGCTGGCGCAGCATCACCAGGTGCAGGGGCTGGTGCGCCCGAGCTGGATTTAGTCTGAAGAAACAAACAGCTTTGAAGGGTGCAGCTAGGGCCTCTGCCCCCAGACCACACGTGAAGCGAGCAGCTCCCAACACCCCTGGAAACAGATGTGGCACTGGCTGTTACCTACTAGGTAGGAGAGAGCGTGTCTGTCTGTTCAAGGACTCCTCCCAGACAGTAAGAGCTAGGACCCCCACATCTGGTAGGCAGCTTCCTCTTATCCTAACACAGTTGGTTGTGCCAGGAAAATGGGATGTGCCTGGAATGGGACTGGTTCTCATAGGATAGCCTTGCTATATGACCACATGGGGACAGGAGGGGATATGGGATGGAAAGCAGGGGCAGTTATACTGTATAATGACCACGGGGGGGGGGGGGGGGATATTAAAGGGCCAGGATAGCTATAACCCCACTGGTGCAGAAAGGACAGGTCTGGAGAAAGGGACAGCTCCCTCCTATATATTTGAGACAGTGAGTTTCTGTGTGTGCGCATCTCCGCCCCAGCTGGGGGACTTGCACCCCCCCATCCTAGCTGTGCCCACTGGAGCTGCAGCAGCCACAGAGGCGCTTCTCACCTGCTACCCATGCTGCTGTGGTGACAGAGGGTGGGGGTGGTTTTCCCCCCCCCTTCACACGGAGCCCCTGCTCCTCAGCCCCACCCCAGAGCAATGATTGCAACGAAGCCCGGACATTTTCATTTCATTTTCCAACAAACAAACATTGAGTGAAGGGCTGGAGCAATGCGGGTGAATTTGCTAGTAAAATATACACGCTACTGGGTTTGAGTGTGGGATTTAGTCTCCCCACCGCACCCAAGTAATGAGCATTACGTGCTACTTCCTGAATTCATAAACATGACAGTACCCATGTCACACAGATCCCTCCGAGACGCTGACAGCTGCTGTGCTGAGGTTAAAGTATCGTGTTGCTGATCCACACTGCACCGTTATTTAAGAAACACGAAGTAGCATCAGCTGGACGCTGGACTGAAATCAATCCACTCTGGTGCGCGCCCAGTCTCTTCCGCCCTCCCTCCCACCACACGTGTGTGTTACTACCGTATGGCTCTGCCGGCGGCGCACACGGACTCTGGGCACGGCCTCTTTCAGAGGGCACTGACTGGCCCACGCAGCTCCTCTTGATTTCTCGGACGCTTGGCTGTGATTCTTTCTAAGGCCCAACCTGCCCCGACTGCAGGAATTAGCCGCCTCGTAACTTTCTGATCTACACCATACCCATGTTGTGTGTGTCTACGGGTGTCCCGAGGAACTGTGGCCAATGGGGGGCAGTGCCAGCAGCAAGGGGGAGCGTGTGGAACTACGTTCCCAGCCCCCCTCTCCAAGGGCACGTTGGCCCCTTCCAGGAGCAGTGGGAGGCTGGGGCCTTAGCCCTGCCTTTGCCAGTCGGGAGCTGCCTCCACTAAACGCCGCCAAGCAGGAAACTGCACCCCAACCTCTAGCCCCCCCCAGAGACAGCCCCCCCATATCTCCTCCCACACCCGCCAGAGCCAGCAAACTGTCCCCCTCCTGCTGCCCAACACTGCCAGCCCAGAGCCCCTTCCTACACCCAAGCACCCTCTCCCAAACCCTTCAGCCCCAGCCCGGAGCCCACATGCCCTTCTGTACCCCAACCTCTTGCTCCAGCCCAGAGCAAGCGAGCGGGGGTGGGGAAAAGCCAGCAACCTGGAGAGGAGGGAGTAAGCAGGGTGGGGCTTCAAGGAAGGGCTGGGGCAAATTCCGGGAGTGACCTTGAGCCCCAAGAGGCTGGTGACCCCACTGCTCTAGCAGCTGCATTGGAGCCATCAGGGCTGCAGAAAGGCTGTCCCCAACCCCTCCGGCTCTGCTGGGGCCCTGGGTCAGCGCCCCCTACTGAGCGGGTGTGAAAAGCAAACCCAGCTTCCAGCTGCCTCCTCACCCCTTCCCGGCCTGCATCCCACACCTGGCCCAGCAGGCTAACCGGGAGCAGGAGGCGCCGCCGCCGTACCTTGGTCACCATGACCACCACGAAGTTCTTCTCGTCGATCTTGTACTCCTTGATGGCGACGTCGTCGCTCAGGATCTTGCCAGCGTAGATCAGCTTCTGGCCCGACACGGGGAATGCCTCCTTGCCTTTCTCCGCCTCGATCTTCTCCTTGAGGACCCGCACCTGCCCGGGGGAGCAGACAGCCCCGTCAGCTGGCTCGCCTGGGGTGGCGGGTGTGCAGATTCCCACGTGGCACGCAGAGGGACCCCCCTCCTTCTCCACCACGCCCCACCCACAGCCAAGCTCCAGGGGTAACAACGGGGGGAGGATGAAGGAGGTGATGGGTCAGGTTGATTTGTTCCTGCCCTGGGTCTCTACAGCCCAGTCTGCTCTGGGCTCAGGATCGGCCACCAACTCCTTTAGTGGCTGGGACAACGCTGAGTCGGAGCTGCCCGCCTGCCGCTGTGATGGCAGCGCCCAGCCCAGAGCGGCTTGATCTCGACTGAAGCCATCGCCCCTCGGTAACGTCATATCTGCTTAGAGGGGGAGCAATTTGGGTTAGGAAAGGGGCAGGAAGCGTCTTTGTCCTCTGTTCATACAGCGCCCGGCACAGGGGGAATCCAGGCCGTGGCTGAGGCCCCAGAGGCTACCTGAACACACCTAGCGAATAACGTGCAGCACCCGGCGCACTGGCTGCCACAATAACTAAAGATACGACAGGCACCAGAGGAGCTCCGGGGCAGGCCGGGGGACGTCCTCGTTGCCCGATCACCCAGAGCTCTGGCCGCAGCTCCACAGTGGGGGGGCATACATAGCCTTAAGACCCCAGCATCCCGCTCGGGGCGTTTCGGGGTATGTGCTTTGCTCATGGTGGAAGCAGTTTCCCCTGGGGCTGGGCCGGGACGCCGCCGGAGTCACAACCTGGCAGGGGAGGCTGAGGCACTGGGCTGAAACTGGGCCGGCTGCACTGACGGCGAACAGGCCCCCCAGAGCCACAAGGGGGTCAGCGCAAGGGCTGCGAAGCGTTAACTGGTTAACCAGAAAGCACGCCCCTTAACAGGTGGTGCTTACCGGAACCCAGCCTGGATGCCCTGCGGTCGGGGTGCTCCGGTCCAGCCAGGCTGGAGTGCCCCCCTGCCTTCCCCTTTAATCGGTTAGCTGGTAAGTGCAATGTTTAACGGGTTAACCACTTAAACAGGATTTGACATCCCTAGTCGGCACCGGCACGCAGGGCCCAAAAGCCTCGGCTGCACTAAGATCCTCACACCAGTCGAACACACGTATTTCCCCCGGTGTAAATACAGCCCAATGGCCCCCGGGAAAGTCTCCTGGAGGCAACTGTACTGGTCTCTGGGCGACTGCAGCCCACCCACGCCTTCGCTACCTCCCCTTCCCCACTGAGAGACAGGAAGAGAAAGATTTCCTGGCCCTCGTGGGCTGTATTCCTATTCCTGTTTGCAAGGCCTTCGGAGAGGGCTACTGAGGCACATACCCCACCCCCCACCCTTCTGGGATGCCCCCACGGCCAAGCAGACTCGATCCTGCACCCTGGAGGACAATGGTGTCCCACAGGGGGCCCGCTGGAACAGCTGCAGAGCCCTGAGAGACGAGCGAGCAGGAGCCAAGTGATATTTTTGGCTGCTGGGTTGAGCCAAAACGAAGTCTGACGCTCTCTGAAAAGCATGCGGGATCCCAGCTATTTCAAAAAGGAAGCCAGCGCCTCGCTTCCTTGGGCAACAGCAGTCAGGATCAGCAGGGGGTGGCACTGTTACCCATCACTCAAGGGCGGCTGCCTCTGCGGTGGCACATGGAGACCTCCCACTCTGTGCGGCGATGCAGCCACCTCTGGGGTGGGCTGTTTACACAGGCGCGGAGTGGACATGGAGCAGTTTAGGGCAGGAACTAGAGGCTGCTGATGCAGCGGTTCCAGTACTGAGGAGCACAGAGAGCAGGAGTCACCACTTAAAGCCAGGAAGGAAATTCTAACAACGACATGCAGAGTTGGGAGATTCGAGTGGGCACGATCCCCAGTGTAGATGCAGCTATTGGCAGAGCTAACTTTGCTTGGGGAGGCGGTGGCTAAGACACGCCGCATCTACGAGCTGCCCAGTAATGCAGACAGCCTTAGGTGGGACCAGATCGGGAGTGCAAGAAGCATTAGAGTCAGTTAAAACCCCAGACCCTCAGCCACGCCTCCTGAGAGCGCTGAAGCTGGCCTATTGACGTCACCCAATCCCTTTTTGCCTCTCGGCTCACCCCACAAAAACAGGCGCACCAGGTTCAACTTGGTTTTTAACCGGTTTCACTCAGCTGTACGTGCCCTGCACCTCAGACAGCACTTTCCTTGTTGGCAGCTAGAGCCTCCTTATTGCCAGGGGCCAATCTGCATTAAGACAGACACCAAAAATCCTTCTAAATACGCTCTTCGTAATCTGGAAGGGTCTGCAGGCTCTCACAGAAATCGGGGTTGCGCCGCATTGCACAGCTATGGAGAATTCCTACCCCAAAAAGCTCACAGGCCGAACAGAGAAAAACAAGGGAAGGGTTATTACATGCCACCCTCTCCCATTATACAGGGGAAACTGAGGCACAGAACAACGACCAGATGTACTCAGATCACACAGGCAGTTTGTAGCAGAGCTGAAAACTCAACACAGACCCTCTTAACCCGAGTTCAGCCCCTCAGCCACATTAAACATCCGGCAGCTATTCCTCCCCCTGCCCTCCTGGTCTCACCAGAGACCTTTTACAGCTGTACATGGGAAGGGAGCTGTCCAGCAATCAGTTTCTGCCTTAAAGCCACAAAACCATTTGAAATCCCTTTGACCCCCAAAAGAAGTTTCTCAGCTGCAAAAGGAACTAGGAAGATTTCAAAGGGCAGGACAAGAGGGTTCCTGGAAAGAGTCGGCTTGCTGGGGTTTATTGCTACGTGCATCACACCCATCCGGAAGTTCCGTACCCCCGCGAGCCCCTTCAAATCAACTCTCTGGAAAGCACAAAGCAGAGCAGGCCTGAGTGCAGGTCTCCACCCCCTGCGGAAGCCAAGGCCTGTTCTCAATCTCAGCTCAGCCTGTGACACCAGCTGTCTGTCTGGAGGGAGAAGAATCTCCCCGCCACCACCCTCTACTCCAGGAGTTTTCCAACTTTTTTTTTTCATGACCCAGTTGAAGAAATGTGTTGGTGCACCCCAACTTCACTTGACTAAAGTGTGGGTTCCGGGATGGGGTTGAGTCAAAGCTGGGGGGGAGGGAGGAGGAATTTACCTCAAGCGACTCTTGGCCAGCGGTGCAGTGGGGAAGCACTAGAGTCTCGTGGCCGCAGGGAGATCAGTGGGCAGGCTAAAGCACCTCCCTGCCTCTCTTGCCACTGCAGATCATGCTGTGCCCCAGAAGCAGGTTCCTAGCCAATGGGAGTGCGGAGCTAGTGCTTGGGGCTGGAGCAGGCACAAAGCCCTGTGTGCTCCCCTCCCACCACTACCAAGGAGCCAAGCCTGCTTCGGCCGCTTCAGGGGCACAGCGCAGTCTGCAGTGCCAGGACAGGTGACAAGCTACCTTAGCCCCCCGCCCCCATGCAGCCACAAGACCCCAGTGCCTGGCATTCCGCAACCCAGTGCTGGGTCGTGACCCGGTTTGAAAACCACTGCTCTACTCACTCCATCCCACCCTGGTACTAGAGCTTGGAACAGCCGCGCAGCCCCATCCATCAGCGCTTCCCAAGTCATTCAAACCGAGCGCTGCTGAGGTGCGCACAAAGCGCCCAGTCACCCCATATGCAAACACCAGAATGGGGACTTTCCATCTTCCCCACCCCGGGACCATAAGTCTCAACAGAAAAACACTGGGATCGTCTTTCCACAGAACCAAAGAAAAGGAGTTTGCAGCCATGCCAGACACGCTGCCCACAAGCAAAGCTCCCATGAAAGCCAAACGACATCTCCGGCACAGAGACAAGAATGTGACGCTCCTGTTACTGGTGCTACCTGGTCAGCTCTGTGTCCCCTGCCACCTTGGAGCAGGATGCGGAGCAGAGTGTGTTAATAAACCCTAGCTCTCATAAAGCTCTGGTCATCTATCGGTCTCCAAGGGCTTCACAAACGAGGCGAGTACCATTCTCCCGAGTGCTACACATGGGGAAATTAAGGCCGGGGAAGCAGAAATGACTTTGGTCAGGTGGCCCTCCCTCACAAACCAGTGGCAGAGCCAGAAATTGATCCCAGCTTTCCTGAGTGCAAGCCCAGCACTCTAGTCACTAGGCCACGTTAGCCCCAAGAGTTAGCAGCTCGGCCCCCTCGATGCACTTCAGTCATCTTGGAGGTCAGTCACGTGAATGCGGATTATGAGACTATTAAGGTCTCATCTCGAACATCCCATGGGAGTTGACGGCCCTGCAGCAGCTGCAGAAGAATCGACAGCCTGCCGCGGGTCGGGGACAGGCGAGGGGGCAGCAGCAGCCGCTGTGCTGTGGCATCACATTTGGGGTGCGG